CTGTATGACACGCACGTTTTACATTGGCTAATCCTCAGAGAGCCGGCGCCGAACACAATAAAACATGCAACTATTACAACCTATCAATACACATCAACTAAAAATGATCACTTCTGAATGATGTAAGTGAGCGGTGTGAGCACACAACAGCTCAGACCGAGGTTCATGCAGCCGTGTCAAAGACAGGTGAACTACTGTTACACAGGCTGCTGAGCCCTCTGCCCGTTTCCCGGGCAACGCAAACACAACGAGGCGTCTCCAGTATCAGGCTCTTCCGTCTGCAGTGTTGAGAACTAGAGCCTCTCATTAATGCTGGCCGCAGGGACTCTGAGAGACAGTCCTATTTTTTTGCCTTTCACTATTGTCTCGTGTTACTCATGTGCATAATGCAATGCACCTGATACACACCTTCTCTGCATTTGTTTTTCATTGTAATTCTGAACAGAGATGATCGAACAGACCCCTCTGACAAATGGTGCAAAATATCACCTGGTCTAATTGCCAAAGCAAACACATTGAACACAAGTTAAAATGATTAAGTTTTTATGAATGCTAAAATGTGTTTAATGCACATTTTTCACTATGCCAAATCTCATATTGTCTAAAAGTAGTTTTGATAGATGCTGCTATTTTACACATCCCATTAATACTAGACATGTTCATTCATTTTGGTTTGTCACTACCTAACCCTTGGTATTTATACCTCATTATATAACTGGTGGGTGCTTTACTGTATATCCTATTCTTTGACCAATCCTACTACGACAACTACTACTCATTTAAAGGGTAACATTAGTCATTTTAACCCTATTTTTTGTGTCAAAGTGACTGGGAACAACAATTTTTGAAATTGGTCCTGTGTTGAGCGCCACAGCCGGCAGCGGTGCAACAGGCTGCAATGTAACCACTTGGGGCAATTTACATCCACTGAATGGCTTGTTTTTGCCACTGACAGGCTCAAATTGTTATTCTTATTGCCTGACAACATTATGGAAAGGATTACTACAAGTATAGACCTAGTAAGATTCTTTTTGGTAAACCAGAAACAGCCCTGAAATTGCTATAGCCCAAGCCACCAGACACCAGGTTTCTTTTAACCAAATCAGAGTTGGTGATTCTTGGAACAGTAGGAAGAGCAACCAAGATGGTTTTGTTAGTTTCATTTTGTATCTGTTGACTTTAAATGAAGTGTGAGTGGCAATGATAAAATTGCTGTTTATTTGAAAGGAGTCTGGTGGGTTTTGTGATGGCGATTTTGGGGCTGTTTATGGCTAAACAAAAAGGATCTTACTCTCTAACAAAAAGGTTTATCTCTGTATGGATCCTTTCTGTAATCTTGTCAGACACTTAGAATAACAATCTGAGCTAATCAGTGGCAAAAACAAGCACTTTCAATGGATGTAAATTGATAATGCAAGCATGCCTCAAGTGGTAACATTGCAGCCTGTTTCACTATTGCCAGCTGACTACTGGAACAATGTCAAAAATTGTTGTTGCCATTAGTTACTTAGACACAAAAACATGGGAAAACCAGTACCACCACATAAGGTCCAGGTTAAAAAAGACTAAAGTCACCATTTAAGGTTCCATCCAAACTAACAAAACATCAAAAATCCAGTGTTTAGATATGATAAGTTATGACTTTGGTTTGTACACAAAAGAGAACCCTGCCCTGCTGCTGGTGTCTGTTTATCAACAGTTAGGTTAGTGCTCAGAGACGCAGAGAGGAAACCGGTGTGGTCTGTTTCCTGAATCCTGTCCTAACACAGCTTCAAGGTTTTAGTTGTCACTCTTTTATCTCTTGATTTACAAATCTTGACCGAGCAACCAACTTGAAGCCATTGATGTGTTAGAAAAACAAGAGTACTTCCTGTTTGCAGAAGTAATTTACATTAATTATCATTGCTTCAAAGACCACTCTATAAATGTAACCCATAATTCCTAGCCCCATGAGAGTTCAGACGGTCCATTTATTTTTCACATACTTATCTCCAGCTGCCTCTGGATCCTTCCTTTGCTTCTTTCCCGAAAGGACACTTGAGTCTCATTGTACTGGGTCATGACCTCCACAAACTTCCTGGACAGCACTGTGTGCTGAGGACAAGTGAAGACACAAGGACAGAGGGTGAGAACGTGGGCATTTCAGAGTGCAGACTTTTACGACTTGGATACTCCACAAAGCAGTTTTGTAAAAGACAAGTAGTGTTGGAATTAAAAGTACATTTTATGGGTATTTCTCTTTGAGGTTCAAAATTACACCCAAACAAAAGCAATGCAAAGAAGCCAATCTAAAAACACATCTTGTAAAAGAGAGAGTGTGTCAGGTAAAGGTAACAGTTGTCCCCATTTCCCTCCTGATGTTTGTGTACAACTGACTGAATCACAATCATGTATGAGCAGGATAGGTTATGTGTATGTGAGGAGTTCACCGTCATCTAACTGTGTCCTCACCTGTGTTTTTTGGATCCTGAAGTCAACAGACGATCTATTAGCAACATCATCCTTGGGCATACTTTGCTCCATGGCTTTACAGAGAGACAGTTACGATAAAACATTACACAACAGCGGGCAACATCAGTTTTTTACGGTGTAGTCAGTAAATGTGACAATCACGCCATGGTTCAACTCACATTTTAGTTTGGTTCGCACCACGTTGGCGTTCCCTTTGATATCGTTGGTCAGTGCATCCAGTTGGTCCTTTGTTCCTTCGCACAGACACAAACAGGGAAACACGTCAGACTTGGTTTGCTGATGAGGAAAAATCATGTCATCCAGCTAATCACTGCGCCTCTCTCTCCAGTAAATATTGAATTTACTGTGATTTCATCTTGTAACTTGGCAACAACCCTGTGGCAATATTACAGAGGTCACACACAGCACAAAGCTCTTTGTTTCTTTCCCTGGTGACCCTTTCCACGTCATGGATCTTAAAACACTGTACTGTGTTACATTAAACATAATCACTGATGATGCCATGGCACTGTAAACTGGCCCTTTGTCTTGCAGGGTCCTCAGGCTCACACGCTGAACAAAAGCCAGGAACTGAGTGCATCCAGAAGTAACACTGTTGTCGTTGTTATAGAGCTTTAAATCTTTAGAAATACTTGAGAACTGTGTCTGATTGGTAGGAGACAATATATGCTGGTGCCTGCGAACATCTGCAAATGACAGCATGTTGGAATCCCTGACAGTTACAAGGTCCCTGTCTGAGCTTTAACTACAATGAGTTCTGGGGCAAAATGGAGCAATTTCCTTTACAGGTTTCCGGCCGAGCAGCCATTCATTCACAATGAGGAGGAAAAAAAGTAACAAAGGAAGTGAGACATTTTCACTCTGTGCCTCAAAAGTTGAACTCAAGCCGAGCAGTTCTCATTAAAACTGAATGCACAAATGAAACATCAAGACAATCAAATGCTCTCTGTCTCCACACACTTACTGTCATCTGGGTTGGGTGCAGACAGGATCATGCTGTGCATCTTCCTCACCTCCTCCACTTGGTAGGAGATCTTATCGATGAGTCCTCTGACTTCTTCCACCTGAACCAATCAATAACACATCAGGTATCTTGAATCATCATCTGCCCTCCCCCACATCCCCAAACCTGTGCACACCCTGGAAGTTGCAGTGATACCCACCCTTCGAAAGAAGCTCTCCATGAAGCCATCTCTGTCCACTGCGACTGCAACATCCTCCTCTGCTCGTGTCCTACCCTGAAAGAAAAATGTGTGTGTGACTTTGTTGGTTTCACCTGTCAATCTGTATCCAACTAAAGCAAGAGCAGTCACTTACAGCACTCAGTTCAGCCAGTCGATCCTTCATCACACCGATCAGCTCGTCTCCAGCCTGGATAATTCTGGTAAAACACCCGCTAGGTCATTCTTTAAGTCTCCATGTGTAAAGTAACATTGAGCCACCTTACTGTGCGCTGAGGTCGAGACGGCTGGATGGAGATGAGAAACGCAGCACACCTACTCCAACAGCGTTATTCCGGCGACAGAAATAGGAAGAGAGCGCGTCAGGTCTAAAAAGTTTTAATCCAAGTAAAACTGGATCCAAAATCCAGCGCTGAGAAGTTAAAGTCCAACAAAATAAAGGTAAAAAGTGACTGTTTCTGGTTTACTCTGTGCCGATATTTCTCACCACACAAGCGCAAAGGACGCGTAACAGATCCACGGTATCTCTTTCCCTGGGATACGCCTCTCCTCCTCTCCCACCTCTCTGCCTTTCTCTTCCTCACCCTCCCTCCCCCATACTCTGCCTCAGGGGGGTAAAACTAGTCCACCCTCAATTTAATTTGATCAGACCATCATGATAAACAAACCAAATTAATGTAATCCTATTATATTTTTGGGAGGTTGAAAGTAGGAGAAAAGGAAATATTATATTACCTCCATTAAAAAAAAAACCACTGTGACACGGTGCATGAGTCTTTTGTGGTTTATTATATGAAAACAGATTTATTTTTGTTTTGTTTTTTACTTTGACAGCAAACACACCACCAGGCAGTTACGCGAGAAGGTTTAATAAATAATTGATGAGTCTGGCTGGGCGGCCACCAAACTATTAGCCATCTGGCCACACGGTGGCGCTGTTTACCTTGATATGTATGCAAATTGACCTTGGCAGCATGTGACGGGACTAGCGGTGCTTTTGATGTCTCTCCCACCTGAAGGTATCCTCCAAACGATCAGTATTTTACCTTAAAAAGTAACACAAGACGAGCTGTGACCCACATCTCACTGACAGACAAGATTCTCATGATATTGATTAAGTGTGAGGTAAGTTATCTTGTTAAATCTCTGAGTGGTTGCAGTTCAAAATTAAACAAACCCATCAGGCGACTCATAAAAAGTGTTTTGCAGTGTTGCAGATACTGCATCTGTGCTACCCCAGTGAGCTCTGGGTCTGTTTGTCCTTTTGTAAACTGTCACAGTAACCACCCACCCTCAGCAGCATCCCTGTTGTTCCCAAAGAGTCCGGGGTGTTGTCCTGTAGTTTAACTCAATATCGAAACTAGCCATGAGACCACATATTAATAAGTATCTTTTATCTAAACAGCACTTGGGTCGCGCGGTGCAGATCCTGATCTCATTCATTCCCCGCGCAATCTCCAATTACGCAGAAGTAATGCCATTTACGCACAGCTCCAACGCCCCTCCTCAGAAGATCCAAAAATGACATCACGTTTTGCAATTCCCACGTTCAGTCCAACAAGCCAGTACGGGGCTTCTCTCCTTCTTGCCATTTCCACAGAAACTCTAAGAAACTAGTTCACTGTAGAAACAAAGACCACGGATTACTTTTTTTTTTTTTTGCGTGGACGTGGAAGCTGGGATTCAGATTTTTATCATGACAGGGAAACTTTTGAAGTTTTTCTCCCTCATACCAGAACACTGAATTGTTTTGGTTTTTTTTTTTTGCTCTAGAGCTGTTATTATTATTTATCTGTATTTCAAAGTGTGGACACATGGACTGATCAGAAGTTGACACAACTTGGAATAATGAGCAACTCCTCTTGGATTCATCTTCATTTGGGGATTTAACAGTTGTTTTAGAGAGGACTGCTACAATTTCTAAAAGTAATGGAATTTTCTTTGCGGATTCACTTTTTTACAGCTTTTGTCTCGTGTATTAAGGTAAGCTCATGAACACAGTTATAGTCCCATCCTCTCATATTATAGTCTGATCATCTTTTGCATAGTTCTTCTACAAACACATTTGATTTCTTTACAGGTTTATGCTCAAGTGGTACAACCTGTGAAGCATCCAGGTAGTAATGCATTTTTGTGTGGATGGCGTGATTTCTTTAATATTCCCAAACTGTTTTAAGTTACCAAATTTAAATATGATTACAATATACAGCTATATATTTAGAAATATGCACCCTAAAAAGTTTTTACCATCTGCTAACTGCAGAACCAGAGAGTGTTATTGATTTGTTTATTACCCTACTCATTAATTAGAGCAGTTTGTGTAACTCTTACAGCTGTTGGGTTCATTATTATCAAGCTTTTAATCCCCCCAGAATCCAAAATGGAGTGCCAGGAAAATCAATTTTGAGTAATGGGGCACAGCTTGATTGGGGGAAAAGCCCTCTCTGGATGCTTGTTTACCCGTGAACTCTCCGTCCAGGCCTGCAGGTGTTGGCCACGGCCTCACATTATTGGCCCCTTGATGCTGTGGACGGAATCCATGAACTGTGGGACCAGATTGGAAACAGACCAGGTTATGTTAACGGAAGTAACATAAGTATGTGCACACCATACATAAAGAGACTGTCATGGGAATGCACAATCCTAATGTCTTTTTCTGATTGCTCTCTGCATGGTCTTAAGCTGTTTTTCATCACCCACCTTCCAGCCATAGCCATCATGCTTGTTAAATGTGCTGCTGTGTTCAGAGAGTGTACATTGTATGTTGGATTTATTAGTGAAATTATAAAGCTAAATATCTAGTGTGTGAAGGAACTTAATGCTGCAATATTTTACATGCAGTATCCCATAATCTGGAGGTGGTAAAAGATCATTAATCTGCATTTTAGAGTTGTTTTAATTGGCGACAGCCATGCTGTCACTACATAGGTCATGGCAAGTGTTTATAAAAATGTTAAAGTTAAAGAGGGATCAGGTATAGACTTGAGTATGATGTGTGAAGCCACTCTGAGTCAAGGAAAATCCTCAAACAAAGAGGAAAAGAGCGAAACCTCTTTGAGCGCTGCCACTCTGCACTCAGCTCAGCATCACTCCGTCTCATACCTGCGCACCACGTCCCTCCTGTTGTCTTCCTCTCACCATTCTCTTGTGCCTTCTGTCATGTGTCTATAGGTGTGAATCACTGTCTCTCTCCGTTGTCTTTGTCCAGCTCTCAGAATCCACAACCACACTGTGCTCCCTTCCTCCCATAACTCTTCCTATGTGTATACCAATGACTCTGCCTACACTAACATTTCTGCAACAGTAGGTGAGGATCAGTCACTTTCCGCTCACTGAAATTCATTTGTGCGTCACCCACCACTCCCTGTTGTCCTCTGTGTCTGGACTTGGTTGAACTTTTTTTTTTGTGCAGTCTTTTGTCTGTGCAGCACGAGATGAGGAGATTCTTGGCCTTTTAAATATCTGCTATTGTTCATTTAGTCAAACCAGAATTGTAACACACTGTACACACTTGCCTAATGTCTTTGTATTCTTTTATGAGATACCAAGAAAGCTGTAAAACCCTCATGTTCATCAGCTGCAAAAACAATTTATGACTAGTTGACTATTAAGAGACTTATAATTTGATTTGCTGGATGAACAGAGAACTGAACATTCGGAATATTTTGGCACTTAAGCAGACCACCCCTGGCTCATAATTTCAAGTGAGATGATGCCTTTGATTTGTGCTCTGCTGCAGATATTGTTGAAGGAATGGTCAACAAGGGCATCTTTCTGAATGGAGATAATGGTGGCACCTTTCTCCACTTTGGAAACTACCAGAACTCTTGCATTAGTGACCCTACTTGGTGTGGGCCTGAGGGTGAGCGCAGCGTAGTTTCTGCATACCATAATTTGCCAAAACACTAATTATTTTCACTCCGTGTAAGTCATTTTTATTGACGTGATTTTTCATCATTCTCCAGGGATTACCTTCTCCTTTTTTTGGAAGAACCATGAGTCAGAGTCCCGTTTTGCTGTAGCCTCTGGAGGGAAAGTTATCTCTAATGGCTTCTCTGTCTACACCAACCCCTATGGAGGATATGTGGAGTTTTACACTCGAGGCAACAACCACAGATGGAAGGCCAACATCCAAGTTCCAGGTACTGTGGATAAATTTACTTTTGTATTTCACACTGTTCTTTAAGTTACGTTTCCCATAGGCACTCGTGAGGAATGTATTTTCATCTTGGAAATACACAGATTTTTGTTTTCAACCATAAATTGTTAGTTGTGTAATTGCATTCATGGTTTGGTTAACTGAAACCAGATGCAGCCACAGACAGTTGATTTGGCAAGAGGAGGGTAAATTTCATAAATCTTTTGCTTTTGCTCTTCTGCTGTTCACAAAACATACAATTATTATGGACGTGTAACGAGATGCGGTCATTTCCCTCTTAAATACAGTAAACGTAATAAACGTTTATTAGTAAACGTCAAGTCAGATGAAATTTGAGCATAATAACGGTCAGAGTGTGACCAATACTTTGAATCCAATTATGAAAATAAAATTTGGATTCAAATGAGATGAAATGGTTAGGTAAACTGTTTTGACAAAGTGGGGAAAAAAACATATGAGGCATAACGTTATGTGGAACTTTTACAAGTTAGCATTTCGTTCTCAAATGACTTCTGTCATCTTTGTTTTCCCTGCAATTACTCAAAGTTGTGTTCACGGGGCGTCATCATAACTTAATTTAGATTTGAGTGTTCTGTTACAGAGGATCAAATGTCATTTGGTACTCATACAGTGTGACATGTCAAAGTTTTAGGACATGTGTCAGTTCTTTCTGAAGTATGAGGAATAGCTTTGATGTTGATAGACTGAACCTTGAGGTGCCCTACCACTAATATAATAATCATCGAAGGCTAAGAATATTTCATTATACTTCTTTGTACATAAAAAAGTGAAAGACAGAGTTAAAACATAAAAGTAGGACTGGTCTTTTGCACATATGGTTTGTATTCTAACCGCAAATGAGATGTGTTTTGGGTGCTCTGCTCATCTGGTGGAAGTGTTTTCAGATGTGTTGTCTAATGAGACTCCCTTCATTGTCAATTTACTTCAGAGACACAAGGGGAAGTTCTTTGTAGTGTAAAACTGACTGGAGAGGAGAAAGCTAGCAGGACCAGAACAGACCCTGACCTCAAGTTCTTGTAGGCACACAGGATTTACTCATAAAATAATTAAGACAAATTCTACAATATCTAAAATTTTTACTAAACATAATTTTCAGCAATTTTCAACTGAGCTAGCTTTGTTCTAGATGAATTGTGATAGCTTTGGTGAACCTGGAAAACTAGTGATATTCCTACCAGGCTCAGTTTTTGGCCTTCTTTGCCGTTAGTGTTATTTAGAAAGCACGGTAACAACAGAAATCGATTGCTATGATGCTGACACTCTAAACTAAGATGAACATGGTTATTATACCTGTTAAACTTTAATTAATTAACGTTAATTTGCTAGCATTTTCATTGTAGCATGCTGATTACAGTCTGTGATGCTGACATTTAGCTCAAAGCAACAGTGTGCCTCACAGAGCCACTAGCATGGCTGTAATCCAAAATGCAAATATGTCTTGACTCCAGCTTTTCAAGCAATTTGAATGTGTCATCTTAAGATCTGTGAAACTACCATGTATATTTTTCACAGCATTGCCAGATTAGAAATGTTTAACTATCGTAGCAGAGGCTTAAAATGATCGTATTTAGGGGAAAATGATCATACACGACTCATAACCATGAGAACAAGTAGGTGTAAATGTGTAATTTCACGTATTTCAATTGCTTTTTTTTTTGACAAATCTAACCACATTGGGGCTTGCCAGTCACATTCATCATAGCCCACGCCAAGCATGATTGGTGGGAAAGAGGCCTTGTGAGGAGAGATACATACACACAGTTGTAGGATCTGTATTTTGCTTTTGGTCACATTAGGACATCAAATAAGAAAGCTCAATTTAAAACTACAAATTGGAAGTGTCACATAATGGTCAGATTATGGCACTTTCGGCATTACTGATTGTACATCATACAGAGGGCAAAATTACCGCACAAATAGGTCTACAATAATTATCATTTATTGTACATCTGGCAATGCTGATTTATTATATGTTGACATTTTATAGAAAAATGGATTAATGAAGAAAGAATCAGCAGATTAAAAACAATCATTAGTAACAGCTCTGAACATTTTGAATAGAAATGTTCCACCTTGTCACCATCAGCAAAAACAAAAACATATTTTGGATGAAAAGCCATACTAACATCTGAAATCCTGTGTTCTGCTCAGTAAATTTCATTCTGTTTTTTGCTTTAATTGCCCACTCGTGTACTGCCTTAACATTTGCGGCGCTTATTTAGTGTGCTATTTATAATTCCACAGAAATCATACATACTGCATATGTTTCCTCTTTCAGGGCCTTACTGGACCCACATTCTCTTCACATGGACGAAAAAGGATGGTCTAAAAGTCTATATCAATGGGACCTTCACTGTTGGTGACACAGTTGGCAGTGTCTCAGAGAACTACGGAGATCCCTACCCTGACCTTGTCATCGGGACTGGCAATGACAGGGCTTATGGTCACTACGTAACAGGCGCTTTTGACGAGTTTGTCATCTGGGAGAGGGCCCTTTCACCTCACGACATTTTGCTCTATTACAGTGCAGCCACAGGTAGGACATGACGCTCTACTGGAAAGTGTTTTCCTGTCATTCTGGGAAGTGGCCTATCTATTTAAATATGTCCTCCCTCTTGACTCTGTTGTGAGGAAACTGTAGGTTAAAAAGCAATTTCCGTCCTTGTCCCCACTACATTCCATCCACAGCATTCGTGCATAACAAGTGTTTAAACTGTATAAATATCTCTCGGCTCCCCGTCAAATGGCTCTTCATGCAAAAACATTGTCATGACCTTTCACCATATAAGTGTCATGGCTCACATAGTTCTGCCTTATAAGTATTTAGAAGTGTGCAGTGGCATATGATTTAATGTGACAGGTCATAACACGCTAGGACAAAAACCCTTGACTCTTAATTGTTTTTGTTCTCTTGTTTACCTCCTTTGGTAGTAGAGTGCCATAAATGGACAAAACATGTTGACATTTATGAGAGCTTAGAACTAATATCATTCTGCTGTGTGATAAAAACATATTATCAGATTTTAGTATGAGAAGAGGTCAAAGCCTGATAAAATAGCTAGTAGGCTGAATTACTTATTGTTGTATATGAAACATACTGATTAGAGACAATGCACGCTGTCTCCTCCTTTGTGTGTATGGTAAAAGTATATACAAACTACACTGTGCAGTTTTAGAGCCTCATCTGCTCACAATGGACAAAGCACAAAGTGCACACTGCCTTCATTTCTTCTCCGAAGTCGTTACCAAAAGCAATATATTCCACAGACCAGACGCAAAGAGCCCAACTGTTATGGTTACAGAACAATATTTTTACCTCTCCAGAGCACACATATAAAATGTTGCATTGAACCAAGGAAGAGCAGGAATGGTTCACACTGATACTTCTAAAGTACGTCCATATATGGCAGTTTTCTGGTAGCTAGTTAGTGCCATTTTTATTAAATGATAACAAAGACATAAAATGTGTCTTAGCCTTGCACAGAAGCTTGTGGCGGAGTATCATGTGGTTGATTATCCCAGTTTTGTGGAGGTTGTAATCTGTCTCCTTTCATGACTGGGCATGATCCAGCCTCGTAAACTGAGAGCTGGAGGGTGATACGATCCAGCTACACTACAGTGGCCTAGCCTGCTCAAGTTCAACCAAGGATATAATAACAGAAATGCTTCTCAAATGGGGATATCCAAGCTACAAAACTGAACACAATGTATACACGTCACCAGTGTGGTTCCTACATGGATGGATTACTGAACAGACCTACCAAGCACAGGCCCCAGGGCCCAAAGTGTCAGGGGCCCACATGGCCTTCACATGCAAACTAGAAGAAGAGACTAGAAGAGACATGTACCAAATGACCACAAAGAGACACAAAGGGGCTACAAAGAGATGCGGAACAGCTGGACACAATGTCTATGAAAAGGGGCAAAACAACCACAAAGGGACACAAAATGACTACAAAGAGACATAAAAAACTACAAAAAGACTCAAAATGACTACAGAGACCTAATATAAACCCCTAAGAGACACAAAACAACTTCAGAGTTACTTAAAATCACTACAAAGAGATGCATAACAACTACAAAGAAACAACAACAATAAGAAGATAAACAACTTTAAAGTCTGTGTGTCTATGTAGGAAAGGTGATGGGGTCTTTTTTATAATGATAATAATAATAATGATAGCAATTTTCAATACAAAGTTACAAAGTGCTTTACATGGTTGATACTGGATTTAAGACAATGCAGGATTCAAGTAAATAAATGAGGCAATCTAAAGAAATACAAAGAACGATAAAAACAAAATAAAGATAAAATTCCATCACTGAAGCAGATAAGCAAAGTTGGCAACAAATTGCCCTGTAGATTACACTGAGGTTTAGCAATCGAACAGTTGGAGTCAAACAAAATAAAAGAATACAATAATCGATGATAACACAAGATAATAACAATAGAAATGATGAAATGAGACATATATAAAATAGCGTGTGCTGAAATTAATAAAATGCTTTTTTGAACAGATGAGTTTTAAGAAGCGATTCAAAAGATGTAATTGATTCAGCAAGCCTCACACTCTCAGGCAGGGAGTTCCAGAGCTGAAGGGCCTTGACTGCAAAAGCCGGGTCACCTTTAGTTTTGAGTCAGGACCCACGATCAGCCAACAGAGCCCTGCTTTAGGATCTAAGGCTGCGCCCTAGCTCATACGGGAGCAGCATCTCAGCAATGTAACTGGGGGCAAAGCCATCAAGAGCTTTAAAAGTGATCAATCTTAATATCAATTCTAAAACTGACTGGGAACCAGTGAAGAGAGGCTGAAGCAGGGCTGATATAGTAATGTTTTCTAGTGTTTATTCAAAGCTGAGCAGCTGTGTTTTGCATGAGCTGAATCTGTGAGATGGCTTTTTGGCACAATCCTGAATACAATAAGTTGCAGTAATCTAACCGTGAAGAAATAAAAGCATGGATGACCTTCTCAAGATTGTGCCAAGAGAAAGGACCTGATTTTGGAGATGCTTCTTAATTGATAGAAAGAGGACTGGACAATGCTTGTAATTTGTTTATCAAAGGAGAGGTCAATGTCAAACATCATAACAAGGTTTTTGGCTGCAGGTTTGACATTTGCAGATTGGAGGCCAAGATGGTTTTGTAGAATAGTGACTGACTTTGGAGGACCGAAGAGGATTATTTCTGATTTACTGTCATTTATCTGGAGAAGGTTTTGGGACATCCAGCGCTTAATGTCAGACAGACAGGATAAAAGATGATTAAAATACATTAAAATACTTCTTCGCTGGTTTTTAACAGAACAAAAATGTGTGTGTCAGATGCATTGCAATGGTACTGGATATTGTATTTCTTTATGATGTGACAAAGCGGATGCATGTATATGCAGAACAACAAGGGGCCAAGGATGGAGCCTTGGGGAACACCACAGGTCAGAGGGGTCGCAGAGTCTGTGCCCAGTGGCCTTTTGTCTCATAATCTGCCCATGGGTTCTTATTATATTGTAACACAGCCCTTTGTATTTTCTTTTGTAGGTCAGCCCATAGTCCCTGTCACAACACCCACAGTCTCCCAAGAAGTCACTTCAACTACACCAACAGTTGTAAGTTTGTCAACTCTGACCTTGCAATAAAACAGATGTAATGCCTAAATGTAATTGTATAAAGTACATGTGAGAATTATCAATTCATAGATATAGCTTCCACTTAGAAATAGTCTGAGCTTTTGCATACAGTATTGAGGCCAGAACATACACAGTGCAAACAGTAAATTTCTTATCGAGCTGCTGATTCCTTTTAAAGACAGAGGAGCTGGAAAAAAGGATATCAAGACCACATGTAAATAGATTCCGTCCTTTTTATTAACGGGGCTTTGGAGGTAGAAATGGATAAAGAAATAGAAGAAAGTGGAGACAGCTGCTCAACACTACGCACAAAATGGCTCCCTGTAGGGCACTAGGCTGAAAAAGAGCAACACTGAATCATTTGTCCAATGAGTATTTCCCGAACTTAGGCTTTCAGTCACTAAACATCCTGTGTATGTTGGAACTGAGCGCTCCTTTGGAAACTGCCTTGTGATAGTAAACTTCATTTGATGCCTGATGTGTTGTCTCCCCAGAGAGCCACTGAAGTGAGTCCTCCTGTCGTCAGCAGTCAGCGTGAGGAGGTCCAAAGCTCCCAGGACCCAGAGTCATTGCCGTACTTCCTTAAGGCGCTGCCCAATAGGACCATTCCTCACAACACTGCCAACAACCTCACACAGGTCTTAGAGCACAATCCAACACACACACACATGTTACAGTTGCTTAAACCAGTTCACACACAGACACAATGCCCACCCATGCGCATATGATGCAACAGTTCCGTGATGTCCATTTTTCTTCCACCCAGGCTTTTCTCAAAAGTGTGGAAGAAGTGCTGTCCTCTCCAGGACTGCCTGAGGTAAATGAGTTCACACTGTTGTTGTGCAATGTTCAAACATGACATAATGTAACATATGCAATTTGGTGAATACTTTAATCCAAGGCACTTAAGGGATCCATGAGTTGGAGATTTTAACACTGCATATTTTGGCACAAGTGGTGCCAGCAGGAATAACAGCGCCTGGCAGTGTGCCCCCACACAGGATTACAGTATACAGTCAAACCCAGTGGTGCAAATTGTATAAAATAGTACTGATGACTATAAAGTGCTCTACAACACAATGCTGTCAATGTAAATTTGCAGCCTCCCGTACTGTACACTCATCCTGACCAAATCTGCAGACACTTAAACACAAACACACTGTTTCTAGAAGAAAGACTTTCTGAGCAAGTGTTTGGTTTCAGTACATTGAGTGCTCAGAACAAGCATGCTTGTTTTTGCAGGAGCAAGCTGAAACAGATGTTCACGTATGAGAACGCAAAACTTGGACAGTAGATAAAGTGTTTGGTAAAGCCTCCTCTGATTACTGTCTGATCAGATTCATGATGAGTGTTAGAAAATTCACCATTTGTCAAGCTTTTGTAGGACCTTAAATCAACACTATATGACCTGAGTAATGTTTTCAAACCATTGTATTTGATCTAATTTGACTGAATTTGATCAAAAATGGTTAGCATTATAGCTTACTGCTAAAAGGTGCTTAGCATCAAACATTATCCCCTGATTGCCACAGTGGCAGCTGTTTGGCAAAAATTACAGTCTCACTTTAAATGGTTATTTGTTCAACCTATATTGGATATGAAAAAGCATTTTCTTGCTGATTTATTATTGTCAATTAAAGGGGTTCTCCGGCTCTACATTGCACTCCCATAAAGCTGGCTGACTCACAAAAGACAGTTTATAAAGAATGGTCAAAATCAACGCACAATAGGCAGAGATATCCTGAGTCTTAGCTCTAAATACACTGGATTCTGCAACTCCCTCAAATTGACGCTATTTCATCACAGTTATTTTGTTAGACTTTGGAAAGCTCCCCCCATAGTTACACAGAAGACATTATAAAACTGCTGAATCTACCAGTCCAGTAAATGTTCTTCATAACCAAGCATCATGACCATTAGAATGAACATCATTCTAATGACCACTTGAGGCTGGCTCTAGAAGTGAGTAAATCCCCATCGACCCCCATGTTAAAATGCCCAACTTTATAGCAGAAATGTGATATGTTTACAGCCTGGTACAAAAATGGTTTTAATCTCTATAGTGGTGTTGAAAACAATATCAATATAATGATACATATTGATTTTGAATACTTGAACTGGTTTCAATACTGACAACACTAGTCTATAGCTAATTTCCCCTTTTGTGACAGCTGTACAGGAGGTGAATTTTCACATAATTTACCAGTTTAAATTTTATTAAGGCTTAATGTTACACATAGGCTTAGGTTGCAGTGACAGGCTGTGTGTGAGGCGTCATCACAGTCTATGAGACAGGTCCACCCCTCGCACCTTCACAGCTCCACCGTCTGTTACAAATGGCTCCAAAAATCCAAGATGGCGACAGCAAAAATGCTAAATGCAAGGCTTCCAAATGAGAGTCCACAAACCAATGGGTGATGTCACGGTGGCTACAACTGTTACTTTTACAGTCTATGTTCAGGAAAAGTAAATTGACCTTTGTGCCCCCCTTGACTTTGACCTATTCTATATTTGTAAATGGAACCTGTGAAGAGAAATCTAATAAAGGAAATTGTTCAAGACACCAGGTCAGCATGAAGCGATGCTTGGAAGCAGGGACTGTGAATTGATTGTGAACATTTTCCTGTCGGTTCATTGTTGAACAGCAGTCCATCCCTGTGGTCAGCGGTCTGATCGAGACCGTGGACAGAGTGATGGAACACATGGTGACTAACCTGGAGCCCAGCCCGAACTCTCTCATCTCCCTGGGTGGAACGTCTTTTGTTGCAGGTCAGTATGCTGTCAGCTCTCCATAAGGTGACTCACTGTTTGTAGTTTGTGTGGACACAGTTAGGCTAGAAGGACATCGAGCCTCAAGCTGACATCATTAATTTTCTTATTCAGAGGGCAGATGCAGGTCAGAAAAGCAGAGGTCGAACCCTCTCCGCTGTGCCTCTCATGGATGTGGGTCTTTTTGCATAATATTTTGTTTGCCACTGAGCTTGCTTGTGTCTTTCTCCCAAGGGTGGCTTCACATCCTTTATCCACCCCTGATGAAGCAGATGGCTCTTGTTGCTTCTCAGTCTGTTTTTCTCAACAGTTCTCGCTTTTTCTAACCTCTCACCCCAACAGATTACTCTCTGATGAAATTCCCACAGAACTACAACCTGCCACATTACCGCTTCCCCACACAAGGCAAGAATTACATCTCCGTGCCTGGAGAGGCTTTGACCATGCAGTGTAAGTGCAAAATGCAGACGTTCAGTGACATGTCTTGAGTGATAAACAAAGCAGACCTGCCATAGCTTTGAGAGTAGTAGCTTCTCTAGGATGAGTGTGAATACTGTACATTGGTCTTGGTCTGATTCTGCCAAGAGAAAATTGTCCAGCTGGGAGGCTCTTGTTATTTGCCAGTAATTTATAATGCTAAGATTTAAGATCGCTAACATAGCATAGGGTGTAGGACAGGAGTGCCATGAGAGCTTTTGTGTAACTTTATGGTGCACCGTAGAAATCCAGCTATGACTTTAATGTTGGCAGTTACCCTTTTATTCAAAACAGAAAGAATGAGAGAGCAGGCACTTTTTCTCCACTTTCCTCTGTCATTAAAAAGAATGGACTCACATAGTGGAGTGAGGGAGAGCAGTAATTACGGTGGGCATTAAAACTCTGTTTGTTTGACTTTGTGTTCAGGTCAGATTCCCTTGGCTCCACCTGGCTGCTATGTGCACTGTGTTGCCATACAATGACTGGAATAAACCGTCTTTATAATTCATTAAAGGACTGTTATCACAAATGGAATATATGTTACTGCCTGACACATCAGAGCCAGGACCAAATTAACTCATAGCTGTGAATACCTGGCTGTATGAAATGCTCCAAGGGGAGGTTTTATATCCTAATTAAGTAAAGAGCATGCTAAACATTGGTGTGTTTGGATTCTTTATTATATTTTTCCTTACTTTCTCTCTTCCTTTGGAGAGTTGTACAAACAAGCTGGCCACCTTGAGGTCTCTTGTGGCTCTTTCTTGTGGGATTTCTGTCGAAATCATTTTTCGGACGGTTAAAAACTCTCCTGTAGCATATACGCCGCACATTTGTTTGACATCTGCAAGCTTTTTGTTGTCACAGTCAAGGGGGGGCTCTGGGTAGAGGGCCTTTGAAAGGAGGAACAGGACCATTAAGGATTTCCTCCAATTTCATTGTTTATCTTGCAGTATTGAGGTGGGACTGAGCTGGTTGATAGGTCAGATTAGGGGAGGGGGACCAGACCTCCTGCTCTCCGGGTGAAGTCATGTAGAGGTTTCATAAGATTTCCCAACATCCATGTGGGTTGCGGCGACTCTTTCTTTCACCCTTGTGCGAGTATACGGCCGTCCTATTAGCCTGCCAGTGCCAGCGTGCAGCGACAAGGCAGCGTTAATTAATTTCCCTTCTTTGTGAGCATTTTAGCAGCACTGCATTACATTCCCAGTCCTTTGCCCAGGCCAGTGAACCACTCTATGTTGTCTTCTTTTCCTCAGCTCAAACCACCATCGTTGGCCTCTTTTACCACAACATGCACAACTACTACAAAGAGATCAGCCCCATCAAGACCAGGTAAGAAGACAGGACAACACTCAATGTGAAAAGTCACATAAACTGACAGTGCCCTTACCACTCTGGTTTTGGCCAGGGTTTTATCTAGAAAAATGTGCTTTAAAAGATTATTCCAGCCATTCAACAAAGAAAATCAGGCCTCTCTTTTTGCACTTCCTGTGTGGGAAAGATGCACTAAGGCGCCCCTGCTTCCTGAACCACAGAACGGCTGATGCCTGGGGCCAGGGCCTTATCAGTCCTCTCGCCTATCTCTCATCTCACCACTCAACCTCCACTGACTGATACACCCTGCCATTAGTCTTACATATCCATTCCTCCCCCCAGTTACTGTCTCATCAGTGGACCAGCTTGTTCTGCTTGTGCTGCAGTGTTTATTTTTTACCAAAGCAGATATAACAGCGATTAAGCAACCTGTTTTCCCACTTTACAGTACAAAATGTGAAATATGTGACGGTACATTTGGAAATGTGTTTGGGACTAATTTGTTTTTAACATGGTTCTCCCACTGCTTGCATCACTGTGGCTGAGAATGTCCCATGTATCATGATAGCGAGGTGATGCTTGTATGATCCCAATGTCACATATCAGATTGCCTTGAAAAACTATTGATGCAGTGCTGCTGCTTGTCAGTGTGATTAATAATATAGAAAGATGATCAAAGTCCCACTTAAATGCTACTGCTCTGGGCCCATGTGTGACACTTATGTGATGATGTGAGTACCAGATTATAGTACTCTTTTCTGTTATATAGTACTTTACTCAAGAATCCATACACTGATTGTAACAAAATTAAACACAAATGTCCAACAAGATAAAATGATGAAGTGATGACAGGGGAGACATTTGGTCAGATACTGAATTGGTGACACTAATCTTAGGTGCACATCCAAGATTAGTAAAGATTGTATAGAACGTCTCTGCTGCCGGGTTGAGGTTGTGTGTGAAGCATCCATATTTTAGAATTTGTAGCTTCTTTGAAGCAACATTTGAAGCATTGTCAACTGTCATGGCTACGTATGAGTCATGGATGAAAACTGTAACTGCAACTCGTTTGTAGAGGCATACAACTGCGAGGTGGTGATTCTAGGTAGTAGTGTTTTTCTTTTGCACTTGTACCTGTGACTCTTATTTCTGCATCTGTTTCTTCCTGCTCTTCTGCCTTTCTTTTCTCACATCCCCTTTCTCTGTTTTGTCTCTTAGGATTAACGAAGCATCTGATTTCAAGGATCACAAGATCCAGGTAGCAAGCTGTCTGATCTCTTTGAAAGTGGAGCCCTCCCCGGCCCTGTCAGTCAACCTCTCTGGAGCACCACTCATCAAGATTGTTCTCACCCACATCCTGGTAAGAATCCACACTATACAATGTTACACTTTCTCCTCTTTTGACTCATGTCTTTATCAGCCATTTGCTTTCTGTGTGAGTTAGTCATACTGGGAAAGTTGAGTGCTTTTCCAGTTGTTGGGTGTGGGACACCCACCTTATCAGAGGGGGAAGAGAGCCATGGTGTGCCCGAGGTACAGTAGCCGGATCCCCCTCATATGAAATCTATCAGCTCTATTTTAGGCCTTCTCTTATGTAAGAAGATGAGCGTCTATCACTAACTGAGGCTTGTGCAGCTGGGCACCACCAGCACAAAGAACGAAGCCTATTTTGGTTTTCATTAGCCTGCCGAAGTTTTCCCTCACGGAGCATGTGGCTTCCAGAAAGCAACTGATTATGGACATTTGAACTGCAGGCTTAGGGCGCTTTGAAAGGAACAATAACTTTCTTTTATGAACAACATATTTTTTCTTTGCTGCTTTATGGCAGGGGCTGTGCCAGTTTTCCATGGGAAATGCAGTCGAAACTCATCAAGAAAATTAACTTAAAAATGTGTATCGCATTAACTTGCTTCCCTGTAAAGTCAGAAATGTGCCAGTGTTTTTCACAGCCATGTGTATTTTTTTAATTTGTTGCGCATTAACAGGATTTTGAAGCCCGTTCTTTTCATCTAAATGAATTGCGTTAATAGCCTATTAGACTATCATACAATAGTATTAATGAGGCAGTTGACTAAACCCTCAACAATGTGGTTCTGTTCAATTTCCAAGTCCTACAAGAATTATTCACTTTTTGTTGAAGTGAATACGTTTTTTTTCTCTCCTCACTCATAAGAGCGCAAATGAAAGCCATGCAGTTTCATGAAACCATGGTAATATTGCTTTGTTTGCCTTCATTTTCCCTGGTGAAATAAATGTTTATGCTGCAATCATCTGGCTTGGTTCCTGTGACAGTGATTACTGTGTTTGTTTTAGCAGACACCATGGGAGAGGGCTTATAATCTCCTTTGTTATGGGAGTGCTGGAGATGCTCACCAGCTCTGCTCTCTGTTGAGTCAAGGTGTTTCTATTTTAGTTGGATTGCCTTTACCTCTGATGTAAGGATAAATCAGGTCTCTTACATTCTTTCCTCTCTACCCCATTACAAATAAGCTGTTATACTTATTACTAATGTGTACTGATTGGAACGCACCGTGCCAGCATATTTCAACTTAATTTAGGCTGCATAGCTTGGATGATGATTTTTATTTAGGGGCGGCATTGTAATTTGGCACACAGTGCTTTTGGCTGTGATCACGTCCAAAAAAGGGGTTGTGTTGCTGTAAGCACTTTGCAGCACAGACCTGTTGTTGGATTTAGTCAAAACCGACTATTTTTGGAGTCTTAATGTCTTTGGCAGCTGGTGGATACTTATCACCTCCCTAGCTTGGAGGCAGATAGGGCAGCTCACACAACATGAGGCTGACCTTTCCCGTCATTGTTTATGTTGCTCTTTACTGTGTGCACAAGTTAAACCTCAAAGATGTCCTCTCATGGCACCAGTTCAGTGGCTGAGAGTAGGTGATTTGCGGCTGACCTCTCTGTTTATCCCCAGAAAGCAGACAAACACCCTGTGACTTCATTAAAAGCTAGCGGGGGGACTGAGTGTGTCTGAAGCAGAAATGTGTCAGCTTCCTCATCTGTCTTCTCAGGCTGTCATGGAAACAACATGTCCTGTGTGCCATCTCTTCCTCTGTACAAACAGTTGCCTATTGTCATGGCTCAGATCCAGATGTCATCCATTTTCTCTATCTGACACCTGCTATGATAAAACGTATCGTATCATGGATTGATGGAGTCACCAACTTGTGAAGAACCTTGCGTAATGGCAGGTACCACTCACTGAAGGTCAAAGCCATGTGGTTGGTATCAGCGTGACCTTGCAGTCTTGATTAATGCCCTCTGAGTACACTAAAACAGCCTGGTGAGGTCATGCCATTCCCAGCTGACTCAGTCAGAGCTTAGGTGCCGCCATCCTATGTTATGTGGCACAGAGCAGGTTTGATAACCAGACAAGGTGTTATCAAGGCCGCTAGAGGCCCACATGCTTTCTCACGCCATTTGGCGGTGGTGGTGATTGGACCCTGGCTCCATCAGTGATTTATCACTGCTGTCTGCCTCAGGTTCAGTTTTAGAGAGCCTACAGAGAGAAGAAGGAGGGAAAAGAGAGGGTGGGAGGCATCGTGGTCTGTAGTTAAACATTAATACATACATAAAAAGGCCGACACCTCCTCTCTGTCTTCTTCTGTCACAGCATCACGCTGATGGTATGAAGTGAATGAATGGAAAGATTGATTTCATGAGCAAAGTGGATTTATAGGGTCAAAACTGAGAGGATTTAAAAAACAGATTTTGACAAGCGGGCCTGACTTTACAGGCTTATAAAGCAGAGTGTTAGGTTGGCGGCTCTATAAGAAGGGCCGAGGCGTGAGGGTGGAAGTGGGTGGAAGCACTGGAAGAGCACTGGTGGCCTCTGTTTGTCCCTCGATTTACTTGTATTACATTTCATTTGTGATGTAATGTGGGACTACACATTATTAAGTTGAAAGAAACAAGTGCAAGAATGAAGCAAGTACATTAATCTTTTCAAATGTCGATCTCCTTTAAGTGCCACATTTAGAGATAATAAAAGATAAAAAGAGAAAGAATTTATGTCTTTGTATTTATTCATTATTATTGTTATTATTATTACTATGATACCCTATCCCAGCTGACATTGGGTGAGAGGCGGGGTACACCCTGGACAAGTAGCCAGACTATTGCAGGACTACAAAAATAATAATAATGATGATAATGATAATAATAAATAATAATAATAATAATAATAATAATAATAATAATAATAATAATAAATAGTTATATAATGTATATTCATATTATTTTATATTAATACGAATTAATACACAATTATTTTTTATTTATTCTTTACTAATTATTTATTATTATTATTAGTAGTAGTATTATCATCATTTATTATTATTGTATTTAGAAATAACTCAGAGAACACACACACACACACACACACACACACACACACACACTTTTCAATTTATTATTGTTTGAATGTATTTATTTATATATTTATTTTTAATTTGTATTTATATTTGCAAATATAAGGCTACAGCTAGCAGCTGGTTAGCTTAGGTTAGCTTAGCTTATAGACTTGAAACAGAGGGAAACAGCCAGCATGGCTCTGTCCAAAGCAAACCAAAATAAAATCCACCCACCAGCAGCTCTAAAGCTCACTAACAACTTTATAGTAAAACAATTTCTCAGCTAGCTGTTTTACCTTGTTTACAGTCTTTGGTGCTAAGCTAAGCTAATGTCTTGCTAGCTGTAGCCTTTTATTTAACAAGCAGACATCAAGTTAGTCTCTGCCAGAGAGTGAATTATATTATTTCCCAAAATGTCAAACTTTTTCTCAAACAACATCTTCTTTTCTACACCCATTAAAATTGAAGAAAATGGGATTTCTGAATCGATCAAACTGACCCTGGTAACTTCACCATTACTCTGTCAGTTCCAATATTCTCCAAGCAACTGGACAAGAAACAGCTTGTGCTTACATCTTCCATTAGGCTTTATCCATCAGTCCCCCTCCCATAATTTAAAGAACATGAAAGAGAGTTTGGTGGGAAGTGAGTAAAGAGGTCAGGGGCAGAAAGGGAAACTGGGTGGCTTGTGTTTACAAAGACGTCTAGACTTGTTGGAGCTGGTGGATCAATTGTTCAGCACTTTTGAAAATAAACAAGGTTATTTTACACTTTCTGATAGCTGCGCTGTTAATCATGTATGCCAACGTTGGTATCAGTCATTTCTGCCACAATAATAACTGCTCTTTATTGCCGGTCTTTTTATAACTCCCAGCACACGCCCAGCTTAAACCTTGTGGGCAAAATCTCTCCTCCGTCTCTCTCTTTCTCTCTCCCTCTCTCCCAACCACCCACACCCATCCATACACCAACACATACAAACACAAGCTGTGTGAGCCAACACGCTGATCAATCACAGATGGAGGTCTGGCTATTGCTGTTCCTCTCTCGCCAAGAGATTTAGAGACTTTCTTTACGGCCCCTCCCACTAGCACCCCCTTTCTATCACCACTCAAACCTCGCGACCACCACCTCTCGCCACGCATCGTACAGTGCAGAGCTTGAGCCCAGAGGAAAATAGAAAAGGTCCTGATTCTGTCTTTATCACTCTTTCTATAGCCTGAGATTATGTTATACAGAATTTTGCCCTTTGTAAACCTGTGACAGAACTCTGCATGAGAAATTCAAGTTTGTGAATGTGTAGAGAGGATTTGTAGAAAAGATTTTAGAATGGACCACAATGGAAGTAAGTCCTGGACAAAGTGTCACACGCCTGTAATTTTACTACTGTATTTATATTTTGTCAAACTAAACTAATAACAAAAAACAAACAAATATCGAATTTAGTTTTCTTTTTTTAAGTCCTTAGAAGGTATTATACGTTATTCAAAAAAAAAAATTATCAGGAGATGTTACACCCCTATAAGCTAAAACTGGGATAGTTGGAATAATGGATTGTGCATGCAGGAGGCTGTTCCATCTTTGTTTGTGTAGTTTCAGTCAGCACCATCAAACCTATAGCGAGTACTATCTCTGCTGGCTACAGGAGCTGGGAAGCTTGTTGTCTCATAATGGGCAAGTGTTTAGTTTAAGCAAAAACCTACAAGAAGGAATTCTTTTTCATTTGGTTAAGTTATCCATCCATTTTCTGCTGCTTCTCTGACTCTAGGTTGTGTTCCTTTGAGTAATTATATTAGCTATTGTTGGTATTTACCACTTTGAAATACAAAACAACAGTGATATAGTGATTAGGACTGGAATAGTCGAAGAATTGATAAGATGATTAACTGAAAATGAATCTTCAAATCTTCAAATGAATTTTTAAAGGTTATTTTTTGTCAGCGTTTTTGCCTTTACGAGACATGACAGATCTAGGGTGAAAGGGGGAGAG